AATATTGTTTTGTCGATATTTATGATAATATTTTTAAATTATAATTTATACTTTATTTTAATAATTATAAAAAAATATAATTTTAAAAAAAGTGGGCTGGCCCGGCAAACCTGTAGCCCACGTACTTGTGGGCTGGGCCGACCGTTTTCTAGCCCACACCAAAAATGGGCTAGCCCGGCCTGACCCGTAAAATGTCAAAGCCTGTATGGGTTAGCCCGGATGGGGTGGGCTAGCCCATATTGACAGCTCTAGTTGAAAGTATGAATGGTTGTGCAAAGACGAAAAAACAGGCAAAACGTTGACGACTAGTAGCAAGTATAGGTAAAGTGAAAGATGCCATACTGACTGACACATGATGTACAAAAGCAGTCCACCATCCAAATCAATCACAAATAAACTATGTTACGAGAAAATAACACAAAATGTAATTGTTAAAGGCTCAAATAAGCAAGGGTTTCCCCAATTGCCTCTAAAAATAAAAAAAGTCTGTCAAGGTAAAACATATTAACAGCTCCAAACTCAATCACAAACATATCATCTTTGAGAAAGTAGGTCGAATGATACTCTGCACCAACCAAACGATAAGATAACAAAATTAAATTTAAAATTCTTCACATCATAAGTTACAGTGCTTGCATGAACATCTGAGACATGTAAACGGTATACAACAAAAAGGCAAAAATCCATGTGAGTTGGATGTCTTTCATGCATCACCACTCCTTCCGACTTACAACATTGGTACAAAATGACTACAGGACTTAACCGCGCCGCCTTAGTTTTCTTATTTACAACATGGGACCATATGGATAAACAAACATCTGATCTTACCTTAAAATAAATAAACAAACTTCTCACTAGCAGTTGATACCACATTGACCTCTTGCAGCAGTCTTTGACGCGTCTGATGTGAAAGGATCGATACGCACCCAAAGCAATGAGAATATGGATGCAAGGAGAACTGCCCAGACAATGACAATGGTAGGAGTACGATTCTGACGTCCCAACAAACCTTTGAGGAAAGGGTACAAATGGACAATGACCCAAATGGCAAAGAACAACTTCCCAAATAGAGGACCCCATGATTGGTATCCACTGTTTATGGCATATGAAACACCCGCCACAATTCCTACCAGATTCATGATAAGGATTGCTGTGGGAGGAATAAGGAGAGTCGTCCATTTGAACACATAAAGCTCAGCAAAATCTCCATCCTCATCGTTTGCCTTTGACGTGACTGTAAAGTTGGTATCAATCCCAGCAAGCACTTTCAGGAGACCTTGGAAAACTGCAAACAAGTGAGCTGATGTACCACCAATGACCCAGAACTGTTCATTTCTCCACCAGTCTTCAATACTCACACCACTCCACCTAAGCTCCAATATACCAGTTGCGAAAATGGAAAGAAAGAGTAGAATGAACCACATGCCAGCATAGTTGCTTATCTGCAGGTAATTGAGAATTATTCATAAATGTATATACAAGCTAAGGGGATCAAGACCATATTTACGGGCAAGCATGAGTATAAACATATCTCAAGGGTTGAACGAACAGTCCCATCCAAAGAAAAAGACTAAAATCAGAAAAGCAAAATAGTTCTCAGCATGAAGACACAGAACAGAATTTTGACAGGATAATATAAGGTTAGAGGAAACAATTTGTAGTATTTACTTTCCTATTTCAACTTTCTTTTTTCTTTACAGAGACTCCCTTCCCACAACACCAGGGGATCATTTCAGTGTGATAAGTTAGTATACCCAGCCTTTCCTAATTGGACAAGTACGGCATGGAAATCATTCTGTTGGTATTCAATGTTTCAATCAACTATTTAAACCTAACAGCATAAAGCAATCTGAATGAAACTTTTAACATACCTCAGGAATGATAAATTTCCCGGTCAGAAGACAGATGGCAGGAAGCGTACAGTAAGCAAGCAAAGGTAAAGATGTGAGAGGATAGACGATGGTATTAATATAGGCTAATCTCTCCAGAAGCATCAATCTGCCACTGTAGCCATACCATATCGGGCAATGCCTACTCAACAGGATTTCAACAGAACCCAAGGCCCACCGGAGCACCTGGTTTAAACGATCAGAAAGATTGATAGGAGCAGACCCTTTAAACGCTGGTCGAGGAGGCATGCAATATAGGGAATACCATCCTCGTGCATGCATCTTAAACCCAGTCAAAATATCTTCAGTGACAGATCCATAGATCCACCCAATCTGATAGGAAACCACAAATGCTTAATAATGGCTTTTGTGCCACAATAAGATCAATACAGCCAAGCAAAATGGACATCTAAGTCATAACAGTATATAACTCAATATTGTTGTTGTACCTCTTTTCCCCATTCAGTCTTGTCCTCGTAGCCACAGCTAATAACATGAATTGCTTCTTTCAAAAGAGATGCAGGATTAGTGGATGCGGGAATGCCTCCTTGTTCCATAAAGGTGGCAGCAATAAACACTGGTGATTGACCAAACCGCTTCTCCAAGCTCCTCTGTGACATAAGCAGTGACTTCTCCTCATCATATCCTGCAAATCCAAAGAGAACAGTCAACAAACAACTCTGTGATGAGGGTATTCATACATTTAGCAGCCTCAGCTATGAGACAGGTTGAGAAGTTGGGAGGACTGAACAAATTAAATTTGTCAAATAAACACAGAACAGTAGAAGAGTTGAGAGTTACAATAATCACATTCAGCTAAACTAACTTATCAAATATCATAAAAAGGTTTTCTCACTTTGCTTCTGAATCCATCATATATCTGATAGAAAATAACCTTAAGAGTATGTCAAAACTATGATACTTCCCAAGTATATCTTAGTTGTAATCACTCAGAAGTCAGATGCTTTAAGACGATATTGACTTATCTAAGTAGAACACTTAATTTTACCATAGAGGATGGACCAAGATTTTCTAAGGACATTACCTTCTACACCTTCTTCAATGTCTTCCATATTGAAAATTGGGATAGTGGATTCTGTTCTTTTTACAGCCCTCTTCTTATCAATGTATTTCTTGTTTCCACTCCTTCCCTTCTTCCTTGACCCACCACAACAGCTCTTCACAATGATGTTTGGCTCCAAATCTGCCTCAGTTAAGACAGGATCATACCCGTATAGAGCCTGCCTGTTAAAACAACACCCAGTTCCCACATACATAGGACCCTGAAGACCATCCAACCCTTTCAAGTTGATCTGTGAAACATGAACAAAATGAAATGAGCACTCCAACTTAAAACTAACTGACATACCAAAGGTGGTTGATAAACAATCTGGGGAATGTGTATGTGACACTTACATCAAAGAACACAATGTTTCGGTTAGCATATCGATCGTGCAAGTCAATGCCATCAAATCGCTGAGGGAACTGAACATAGCATGTCTTCTTTCCAAGAACAGGATCCATGAGGAAACACATAGCTTCTTTAAGTGCTTTGCTGTTGTTAAAGTAGTGATCACAATCGACATTCAAAAGATATGCTCCATTGGT